AACTTCCTTTTAATCACCCTCAAGATTGTGAATTACGTTCTCAATCCTCAATTCGAAAACTTGGAATTTGAGCTAGAATGATGTCTTTGGACAAGGAGATGATCACTTTAATCTTCCTAAACTTGGCAAGGATTACTCTTTCCTTCATCAAAGCTCTAGGACTTCGTTTCAATGAGTTTCTTGGGAGGTTTTTGTAATGAAAGATGAGATCTATATGAAGGCTAGACAACTTCTCTATTTTTGTAAGACAACACTCTTGTTTTCAAACTCTAATTCAAACTCATCATTCTCTCAACACTTCTTCTATCAAATTCATCTTCTCAAATTCAAGACTTGAGCTTTCCTTATATAGGCAATGCAAGTGAAGCAATGGTAAAAGACAAAGTGGAGAACTAATGGAACATTTAGGGAAGATAATAGAGCTAATGGAGCTCAAATGAAGTTAATGGAAGACAAAAATAGAGCATTACATTCAATGGATCAAGCATTAGGCAATGGAAATTGAGAATACATGCAATTGGTGCAAACATGGGTTAGAAAATGGGGTTGTAAAGTGCCCCACCCGAACCAATAACAAAACCCGTCTGCACTGTCCTTAGGCGGTCGACCAGCCAGAGAGAATTTTGCCGTTTTGCTTCATTGCAATCTAGCTTCACTCCGGTTGTCCGACAGGGCTTAAACACTTGGCCAAAGCAGGCTTAGGGTTGTGAACAAAGCTTAAATTCCATTTTTTTTTACTAAGAATTTTGTGAGAAACACATTCTTATTTTCATCATTAGATAATCAAAAGAAAGCGCCCAAGTCTTAGGACCTGCCAAAATGGGGTGTCTACACTAGGTTTGAAGAAAGAAAAGTTTGATTTGTTGCAAGCCCGCTATAGGATTCATTCTGTACAACCTTCAGTATTTTGGACGTATTTCTCTTATCCGATATCATATTGAAGTGATTCAAGCGGCATTGGAAAGCTAACTTAAAGCAATATGATTTGTGTGAAATTTGTGTGAAATAAGAACTTTCCAAATCTGGCATTTATTAAGGCAAAACAGACCCTGAAGGTGAGACCAAAAAGTTGGGAATAATTCTATCCGAATTTTCTTTTTATTTTGGAAAATTTTAGCCTCTTGAGTGTTACTTAAATAGCTCCTATGTCTATAAATACATGACCATATTCATTATTCGGGTTGTTCATAATTTTAGAGAGAGAGAGACAGAGAGAGAAGAAAAAAAAAGAGGAGGATACGACGACATGTGTAGTTAAAGAGCTTCTCTTAGGGTTTGGATGAAATTTTAATCAAGTAACAATATTTTGTATTTAGTTTAGGATTTTTATTATCAGTTCAACAGTTGTATAAGATTAAAGATTTTTATTTATTTAATGTATTTTGGATCATCATGCACAATGCATATTTTTAGTTTCTATGATTCTAATTGCATGCTTATATAATGGTTTTTATTGATTTATTTTTGCTCAGTTAAGATAACCTATGGTGGTAGAGACGAGTTATGTCGTGAGACGATTCATGTCAATACTAGATAGTCTATGTTAATAGTTAAACTGCAAATATCTTCTAGATGATATTGTTGGAACTTATAGTATCCGCTTCCGGTATCCAGGGGTTAGGCATCGCAACCGGCCAATAACTATGATTACCTAAGGTCGATTGCAGAACAATTAAATAATTAAATGCATGTAGAAATAATTAATTAAAAAAGGTACCAAAATATTCATTGGAGCTTCTATTTAATTGTAACATAAAGACTATTAATCAAATAAGTGGATCTTTACAAATATTACAAAAGTATACTGTGCATCTACTACATAGTTCCATTCCCGAAATGAGTCATACACCTTTCTCACTAATTGTTATCTACTTCAAATTGATAAACAGCTTATAAGCATATTGTAGAATGAGGAATATTATACTAAGAGTATAAACATTATTAAATCACCTTGGATAAGTGTGAGGCCTCTAACTTTTGTAATTTTCTTTTTAGACCCTTATTTTAGAATTATTTCAATAAAAACTCTCGATTTCTTATTTGATTGCAATTTTAACTCTAGAATCGAAAACAAGCGACAATCGAAAACTCGTAAATCCTAATCAAACTCGGGAACCTAGAATCATTTCCAAAGCTCTAACACTAATTAATTTAACTCCCTAATTAAGGATTTATCACTCAAAACCTTAGATTTTTTTTTCGACGTTACATTCAATTAATTGCCATTTAAATCGAAAAGAAGAAACATTAACTGAATTAAATTCCCAGAACCTTAATTTTATTAAATTCCACGCTTAAACAATTTTTTCCAAATCCTAAAATTAAACCCTAGCCCTCATAATTTAGCTGAATTATATTTGGACCCCAAGTAGTACCATTATATATATATATATATATATGTTTGAACTTGTACTTTCTTTAAATAAACAGATTTGTCCATAAATATCTTCTAAAATATACATTTTGTACACATAAAAAATCAAAAAATCTCTCTAACTCACCTCCTATGACCGGCCATCCCTGGGAGTTAATGAGTGTTGTGTACACTTTGGACATTTAGCTAAGATTGTAGAAGCTTTGAAAGACTATGGAGAAAGCTTTGTAAATATATATATATATATATATATATGCATGCAACTAGCTTGGTCCAAGCCCAACAAATCACCAACTAGATCGAGATTAGAGATATAATTAAGGGCTCTAAGCATCCTACATTTCATTTCATCCTAACTAAATCATAGAATGTTAAATTGAATTGGAACAAAGGGCATTTTGGACATTTCATGCCAAATTCTCTGTAAATACACCACTTCCCTCCACATTTTGGACCACACAACACACTCGTACACCACATACATACACCCCACGGCTAAGAGGAGATGAGAGAATGAGAGAAAGCCTGGGTGGTGAAGGAAAGGAAGAAAAAAGGAACCCCGTCAAGTACTATGTTTTTAATTCTTTAATTATGCATGTGATTATGTGCTAGGTGTGAATTTGAATGTTAATTATGTGACTAATGTGGTTTTGACTTCATATATGTTGATCATACGAATATCTATTTTGATTTCTGTTCTAGTCTGAAAATTAAAAACCTTAATGGCGTCAGAAGCCAAAATTGAGTAGTTTATTGTGATTACGTAATTTTTAGAGTCTAATGAGAAGTTTGATTAAAATTTGATTCAGTTTAGAAATATTAAGTTTTGATTAAGTTAAGTTAAACATATTTAATTAACTTAAGCCTCAATTAGAGCCCTAAGCTAACCTAGTGTAAATATATTGTTTCAAAAAGGAATCAATAAGAACAATACATAATCATGTTTCTAGTATCATTATAGTCTCATTTTATGATTATTTTTATGTTTGTAGGATTTTTAGGTGGAGTATTTTGTTAATTTTATATTTGCTGACATGAGCTGCAAGAGTTGTCCATGAGAAATTTTATTTCCACACACTTACTTATCTCGGTGTACACACTTGATAAAATATTATTTTAAGAACAATTATACCCTAAAATAAAATAACCATAACACCCATAATATTACATCAAAATATTCTCTATACACTCATCCTCCTTCACTCTCTCCACTGGCAAGCCATGGAAGCCAAGTGATTGAATACAACCTCCATTGAAATTCCACATCTTTGTTACTTGTAAAAAATAGATTAAAATTAATTTCCATTAATACAAGCATTAAAGCCTGTTACTCATTGTCATTGATATATGTATGAATATATATATATATATATTTATTTTCTTCTAGGGGGCGGAGGGGGTTGGTTTGGTGGGGATTGAAAGTTATGTGATTAAAAAAATGGATTCCATGTCGAAACAATTTTGTTAATTTGATAAAGGCAGTGTTAGTCAGAACCAAAACTAGGCCGCAGTTAGTGGCAAACAAAAACTTGCACCTTCTGTTGACATCATCTACAACACTCAACAATTTGGAGGTCTTAATCCATGGAGCTTTGTTGAAATTTATCCTTCAGATTGAGTCGCATCTTCTCCTGTTACTATCACTGGGACAAGCCCCTATCTCTCCGTCAATCTTCCCACGCCAATCCAGATGTCAAAGCTCATGATCATCCCGATGCCTCTCCCTCCAAGCCTAATTCTACTCACATCATAATCTTCATCACCATCTTCTTCTTCGTTGTTAATTGATTATTGGATCGACGTGATCATCAGATTTCGGATATAAATGTTTGAACATCAATGTGTTGAAGGAGGGTTTCAAACATTTGAAAATCAGATGTGTGGAAGGAGGGATTAGGTCGTGTGTACAAGGATAAAAGGTACGGTATAATTGGAACATAAAGTGTATGGAACGAGAAAAAAAATCTATAACCAAATTAATAATTATGTGCATTGAATTTATTTAATTAATTTTTATTTATATTTTTTATTTGGTCTTAAATTAGTTTTAGAAATCAAATATATTTTAGTAATTTCCTTTCTTGGTTCTAGTTAAAAAGTCTCCTAATCCTAAATGAAGTCATGTAATGCTTATAATTTAATGAAGTGGATATTCTAGAAAATTTTGAAAAGCTTTAAACGTTTCTTATGGATTGTGTGATGCAACCCTAACCCTAGGTGTGATGCTCAAGGAATTCTAAGAGTAATTCTCAAATCAATCTTCTTCTCTTCTTTTTCTTTTCTGTTTCAATTTTATTCTCGAATTACTGTTCAATGCCCTCTAAAAGTGCATTTTACAACCTCAAAAACCCTATCCAATCACACCCAAATCAATCATTATCCCTTTCTCTACCTATTAGTCTTCAATTTAACCCTTAAAACTTGCACTGTTTAGACTGTCAAAAAGCCTCTATTTTCACCCTAACAACACTGTCCTGCATCATGAGGGGGGTAGCTTAGTTCTTTCTTTTTGGTGTGCAAAAAGATCAATCAGATGTAAGCCCAAAAAGTACTTCAAAAGTTGAGATTCCAGATTGAGCGAAGACCTTCAATACTTCTCCTTCAATTTGGGTTGGGATTCAAGATCTGAAAAGCAAAAACGAACTGCAGTTCCAATATGATACAGATCCTCAAGAAGAAATATTTAATATGAAAGAACAGTTACATCTTTATAATGCAAAAACGGCATTTGTTATTGCCAACATAGGATTGTTGGTGCCCTGAAAAAATCATGTGTGATCCCAGCACGATTTTCCTAAACTAGATTTGAGTACAGAATTCAACTGAATTACCAGGACAGTGCGAAAAAAACTAGGAGAGATGAATGGATCCAGTATTCAGACCAGCATGCTGTGAAGAATTGTTAATTTACAACCAGCAGCTTATCACATAATGATTGATACGCTGAGCTGCAAGCCTTGAACTTTTCCTCGGCAACAGCCTGTCCATGTATAGCAACTTGTTGATGTCAATAACCATTACAATCACTGGTCATAGGTTCACAATTCAAGCTCACCACTACACTATATAAACAAGAAACCAATAACCAAAGAAAAGAAACAACAGAATGTGCTATAAATGTGGAAAAATGGCTCCCAAAGTTGGTAGCAAAATAACACAGCAACAATAATGGCTCCCACAGTGGTTATCAAAAGTGAAAATATTGAAGACTTGAATTTTGAGGAAAAGAAGGAAAGAAAAAGAAGTTTGTTATTATTAATTGTATCCCTCTTTCTGTACAGGTTCACTTTTGGTCATCAATAATTGCATCCCCTTTCTGTATGGGTTCACTTCATATTAAACGAGTCAAACTCTAGAACTCTCACTAAACAGCGAAGCCTCAATATTTGAACCCCTGACCAATAATCGCAAAGCATTCATACCTTGGAAGAGCCTTGGTGACGATCTGGATGCCATTTCAGTGCACACACTCGATATCTACAAAGGAAACAGTAGATGGAATTCAAATAACAAAGGAATAACATAATTCAATTGAGTTAAAAACACTAGTAAATGGAAAACTCTAAGCCCCTTTTAGAACAGATAAAGAAGCTAGGAAAAGGGAAATTCATAAGAACTCACGCATTTTTAACATCTTCCAGCTTTAATGGACCATAAGCACTCAAACCTAGGGCCAGTCGGTCTGATGCCCAATCTGACTCTGAACTGTCTGACTCTGTTGAGTCATAATCCTCTTCATCCCCATGTCTCCAGTTCCAAGAGGTCCTATAGTTATTAGAGTAACCTGATGAACTCCTCCATCGAGAAAAGTCTTCATCAACAAAGGACCAATAGAAGTGTCGGTTTCCACCAAATGAAGATCGAAAAATGGTCTCAACGTCAATATCATCTTTGCAGAAGTGGAAGTTTCCTGATGAGTCAAAAGTCATGTATAGACTAAATCAAGCAAAGGTTTTGGTGAGAGTCTACTTCTATAATAATAATAATAATATAAAATAAAAAAGTTTGGTTGCAAATTGTTTCCGAAATGAGGGGAATCTGAAACTCCCATTTGGAAGAAAATCAAGAACAGCATCACATTATAGGTCAGAGGATGTAGGATTTTCATATGATATGGCTCAATGGGAGACTAATGACACCAAGATTAACACCAAAATTGTCACTATCAAACAATATGCTAGTTTGGGACCATCCATAAGTCTTGCGCCTCCACTATTTGAATGAATTAACCCAAAATGTTCACTTTCTTGTAATATGTCAACAGATACCTCTACAACTAGTTCCACAATACAAGGCTCATTAATGGATTAGAAATTAATTGTATAAAATCACGGTGCACTAGCTTGTACCTGAAGAATGGGATCCTTTGGTGCCAGTCCTGCCCCCTTTGGGAACCTTAGCCCCGTATTCACATCTAAACGTTGAGCTGCCTTGACTTGAAGATGGATCATATTCATCAAAACCATTATGCCAGCTCTGAAACCTCAAAAAATAAATAAATAAATAAATAATAAAAAGAGGTAAAGAAACTGTTGAATCTTTTGCTTATCAGCCGATAATGAGCACTATTGCTTCCACTTTTGAAATAAAGACAACTTCTATATTTTGACAAGTAAAGATAATATAAAATACATAACCAGAGCACCAAGGGGTGCCACCTGCATACACATAATGATATCGAAACAAAACACCAAACCCCCTACACATCCAATCTACTTAAAAGAGAACAAAACCTAAAATCTGTTTCAAAAATGAATCAACAAAACCAGAAAATACAAAAGGGATAACAATCTACTATTCAAATTAAAGGGCCTCTATCCCATCAAAAGCCCTTCGATTGCACTTTTCCCAAATAATCCACATCAAACACAAAGGCACTAGCCAAGCCTTCGTTCTTTTCTCCCCACTCTAACCCACACCCAAAAATGAACAAGAGCTCGTATGGTCCTAGGGAACACTGGACAAACCTAAATATCCCAAGAGTCCAAATAAGAAGTTGATGCACAGAGTATAAGAAGTTTAAGGCAGACTAAATTTAAAGAAGCGATGACATTTAGACATTGGCATGATTTCATAAAGAAACTGATAGAAATCTTCTATAATCATATTTCTAGTATTATTAGTCTTATTTTATAATTATATTTATGTTTCCTAGGATTTTAAGTTTGGGGGTATTTTGGTAATTTGAAAATTTCTGAATATGAGTTCGTGGGTTGCACATGGATTGTCTTATGGATCAAGTTATTTAATTAGTTTTTATTTATGTTTCTTAGTTGCTCTTAAATTAGTTTTAGAAATCAAATATATTATAATAGTTTCCTTTTTTAGTTATAATTGGTTTATGAAGTCTCTTAATTTTATATAAAGTCATGTAATACTTATAATTCAATGGAGTTGATATTTTAGAGAATTTTAGAGCTTTTAAAGTTCTTTATAGATTGGGTGATGCAATCAAACCCTAAGTGTGATGCTAGATCTATAGTGATTTCAGGAGTGATTCCTAGATCTATCTTCTTATTCTCCTTTCCCTCTTTTATTTTCTGCACTTTTAATAGCCCAAAAACACTGTTCACGGATGCTGTTCACAGCCCCTAAACAGTGCCAAAATCCCATCTTTTCATGTTTAAACTCTTACCCATTATTTACCCTAAACAAACACTACTTGTCTCCTATACTTTCATTGCAATTTCAGCCATAAAATCCAATTAAAATCAGCCCCAAAAGCCCAGATTTGCTACTGCCCTAATCGTTCTACATCAGAAGGTGATTGACAGATTCCTCATCTTCCTTGCACATTCAACACCATTTAACAAAAAAATTCTGCCTTCTAATTACGTTATCAATGGTAAATATCTTTCCTATCTTACCACCCAACCAACAAAGGAAACCTTTAATGGTGCCTGTGAAACACAAATACCTTTCCATGTTAAGGAAGAATCCCTCTATCCTACTAAGATTTCACCTTGAATGCTCTAGATCTCAGTCTCATCCATCTCAAAGCATGCTCTTCATCACCAATATAGAGCATAGATATAAAGCACGGACACCTCTCCAAAGGTCACATACCGGAGTCTGACATGTGCAAGTTCCGGACACGTGTTGGACACACTGAAGGAAGTGTCCCTTTTTCACTTAGACATGCAATGGACATGTTGGGACATATTGGGGACACAAGACAGACACGTTGGAAACACATAGGGGACATGCTGGGGAAATGTTGGAGACTTGTGTCCAAATTTATGTATTGATTTGTCACTAGAGTAGCATACCCAAGGTTGATGAATTTGGTGGAAATAAATATTTGACATAGAAAAATATATAATATTCAAGTACGTGACATAATAAATTTATAAAATTATGTATTTTGCACGTCTCCCGTGTGTCATGTCTTGCATTTTGTGAAAAATTGTGTATCCACATATCATTGTCGTGTTATGCGTTTATGTTCATGCCTCTTAGAAGAATAACATAGACTAAGGAAGATCTGGCAGTTCTATGACAGCCAACCGTTCATGCATAAAGCATATTATGTTATTCATGCATATTAAACTTGTGTTATATGTCTACTTGTTTGAACTAGTGCATGATAGAGATTATAAGAGAAGGAAAGTTAGTTAGGCCTTTAAGTCTAGAGAATTGCTTGTTTCATGCTTTAAGTTAGGGAATGATTTAGATTGGAATGTGAAATCATAGGACGTCCCTATAATTTAGGGGTTGTTTGGGGTGTCCTAAATAAGTGCACTTTTTGTCTTTTTGGACTAAAAAATTGAGGAAGAAAATATAGATGTTTGGGTTAATTTTTTGACTTTTTATAGAAAAATGTGTAATAAAAAATTGTAAAAATTGGTTTGTAAGAGAAAATTAGGATTGGGAGTTGCACAGCCGTAATTATTGACTTTTGGTGAATAGTGTTAACTTTTTAACTTTTTGAGTAACTTTTTGGCTTTTCCTGGACATGCCAAACTTGGCCTTAATTGTGGAGCTTAAAACTTTAGTCTAATGAACAAATTCATTTCTTATTATTTGATGTTTTGCTAATTAGGATTAATTAAGTTAAGCAAGATTAGGGTAAACTTGGATTCGTTAGCACAAACATTGATTAATTAAGTTAGCTAAGTAGGATTTGCCAAACCAAGCAATCACATACCTCCCCCTTTTGTCTCCACTCTTTTTGTCCTATATTTAAGTCATCAAAATCAAACAAACCAAAGGAAAATCTTCTAGAAAAATTTGGAAGAAGCTAGAGAAAAGGAGAAGGAAAGAAAGAAGAGAGAAAAAAGAAAGGCTCAAGGATCGCATCCAAAACTCAACTTGTGACGACCCCACCACGTATAATATTTTGCATATAATTAATCAAAGAGATTTGGATTTTAATTAGTCATTATTCGGATTTAATTAGGGATTTATGAGAGTATGGAGTCTGATTTATATATGATTCTATTAAGGATTTATTTTGGAATTAGAAATTGAGAGCCTAAATGGCTTAATGAGGTGAAATTGATGAGTTAAATCGGTTTAATTTCAAGTATTAGACTATAAGGGAGTTTAATTAAATATTCGAGTCAGTGTAGTAAAATTAAGAGTTGATTAATTGGGTCCAAATTGGAGTTAATCAAGTTAATCAAGTTATGAGGATTGGAAATTAAGATTATTGTGAATTAGATTTACTTATGAGGTATCCAATTTGAGTATGTAATTTGTTGACGGAGATTTTGAGTTTGATTTGAAATTGAAGGCCTTAGTGATTTAAGAAACCAAAATTGATGATGGCAATAAGTTTAATTTGATATTTGAAGTCTTTTGGGAGTTTGATTAAAAATCTGATTCAGATTGGTAAAAATTAAATATAATTAATTGGACCTTAATTGAAGTCAATTAAACTAATTAAATTATGTGAAATTTATGATTAGTTATGGTTAATTAAATTATATTCTAATCAAGATTTGTTAAGACTAAGCGTTGCTTAATTAAGTTAATCTTAATGATAAATGGAATTGTGGAATGGTCTAGAATTTGAAAGTGTATGTGGGTGTGGGTGTGCAGAGAAATTCTGTGTGTGTGTATATGTTAAGGAGTCAAGAGTTGGTCTCATTTGCATTGTGCTGAGAAACCCGTGAGAGAGAGAGAGAGAGTGTGTGTGTGTGTTCATTCCTGGGTTGTGCTGGAGAAGGATCACAGGAAAGCCTAGAGAGAAAGAAACCCAAGTTTTTTAAGAGGAATAAAGGAATAGGAAGGCTCAAGGGGGAAATCAATTATAATTCCTGAAATTAAAACTTAAGGTATGGAATTTATGTTCAATTTATGTAGAATCTTCATATTACACTTGAAATTAAGAAAATTATGGAATCAATCTCATGGATTTTGTAAGAAATTGGGTTTTGAGTAAGAAATTACGTTAGGTTCATGGTTATGAAAATTAATTTGGAAATTAATTATTTTGGATTTTATTTTTGTAGTCTTGCATGAAATTAAGTTCCATTGTCACATGCATGAGTGAATTATATAAGTATTTGAGTCTTATATTTACATGCATCATATATTTTGAAGAATTTGAGCTATTCAATTCATATTTTGAAGAGAAAAATGAACGGTTTTATAAAAATCGAGTTTATGGAAAATTGGAATTAATCCTAAAGTTAGATAAGGTTTTGATTTTATAATGAAAATTAGAAATTAGTTTGATTTTGATCTTTAATCCATGCATTTAATGTAATTTAAGAGTTTTACTCAGATTAAACATATTTTGGAACATCTATGATTATAAATTAATTTTTTGGGTTAAAAAATTGAGTTAAATTCAAATTCTAAGAAATTGATTTTGTAATTTATCATTTAAGTTTGATTTTTATTATTTTCATGAAATTGGATTCCATCTTTACATATATCATAGGTTTTCAAAAGTTTTGAAGATTTAATTCATATTTTAAAGGAAGAAGAACAAAGTTTTGAAAATCATAAGTTTATGAACATTTTAAGTATAATTTTGAAATTAAAGGAGTTTTAATGTAAATGATTTGAAATTGATCAAAAATTTAGATTTTCTTAAGTGTTTTCATGTTTATAATTAAGCCCCGCAAGACCCCAAGTTTTGAAAATGTGTTTGGAAACTATTTTGTTGATTTTCGAAATCCAGAATTTTTTCAGACTGCTCGAGCGGGTATAGTCACCGCTCCAGTGCACCTCACGAGCTCCCAGTAGTTTTGCAGAGTACAGTCCGCTCGAGCGATCAAGTGGTGGCTCAAGCGGTCAGGCCATTTCAACATAATTTTAGAAAATTACATCTTGATTGTATTTTCATCCTCATCTCTTCCTAAACATAAATTAATTGGTCAAAGAATAAGTCATTGATTAAGTAATTGATTAAGAAAGAGGAAGTAAAGTAAGGATTCGGTTTATTTAGGAAGAAAGATAAGAGAAGTAGAATTTGATCAAGAGAGTCATATGGTGTTTCAATGTGCTTGTTTATATGCTTTGTGTAGGTTG